AAAAAAAAGATTGACTCTGGTAATACACTGCCTAAACGTTTAAATACTAATGATAAAAGCATATTTATCAGTGATAAAAAAGAAATTGCTGAAAGCTTTAACAATTATTTTTAAACATTGGAAAGACGTTAACAAATAAAATAACTCCAAGTAAAAAACTTTTTAAATCATACTTAAAAAAAGTAGACTTCACAATGGATGAGTGTGACTTATCTCCTGATGAGCTTTGAAATGCTTTTGAAATCATACAGTCCAGAAAAAGTCCTGGTCTTGATGACATAGACTCTAAAGTTGTTAAAAATGTTTATGACGTTATTGAGTATCCCCTAATGTATATTTTTAATTTCTCATTAAAAAATGGAGTTTTTCCTGACCGCCTAAAATTAGCACGCGTAGTTCCAGTATTTAAAAGCGGAGATGACTCGACTTTATCTAACTATAGACCCATCTCCATACTCCCGTGCTTTTCAAAAATATTGGAGCGCATAATGTATAATAGACTCTTTACATACCTTCAAAATCATAAAATCTTCTACGATGACCAAATACGGATTTAAAAAAAGCCACTCAACTGAACATGCTGTAATAAAATTAGTTAACGAAATTTTAAGTGGCTTTGACAAAAACAAACACACCCTTGGAGTATTTATCGACCTTTCAAAGGTTTTTGATACAATGGATCACGAAATCCTTCTATACAAACTTCATAATTATGGTATACAAAATAAGAATTTAAAATGGTTCAGTTGCTATCTAAAAAACCGTAAACAAGCCTTATTTTTCAATAAAACATACACTCCCTTTGAAATCATCACATGCGGTGTTCCCCAGGGTTCCCCATTCTAGGACCTCTGCTTTTCCTTATCTATATAAATGACATATTTTTATCTTCCAGTATATTGAACTTCATTCTTTTTGCAGATGACACTCATGCTTTCTATACCCACTCTAACATTACTACACTTTTTAATACAGTAAATCAGGAACTTGAAGAGTTGAGCAATTGGTTTAAAGCAAACAAACTTTCTGTCAACATTGAGAAAAGTAATTATATCTTTTTCACAAAACCTTACAATTCAGACAAACTACCATTAAAACTTGCAGATATTCTATTAGACAAAGTTAGACTAAACTGAGCGTTCTCAGTTAAATTTCTCGGGGTAATATTAGATGAAGCTGGAAAGACCACATTAATATATTAAAAAACAAAATATCTAAAAACATTGGAATTATGCATAAAACCAGATATATTTTAAATAATGCATGCCTTAAAAGTTTTTATTTTGCATATATACATAGCTATATAAACTACTGAAATATTGCCTGGGCTAGTACCTACCAATCAAAACTAGATTTAATATATAAAAAACAAAAACAATCGTGTCGTATATTAACAAACGCAAATAAAAATGCCAATTCTGAACATTTAATGAGGGAAGTGAGAGTTCCTAATATCTACGAACAAAATATATATTGCATACTTCAGTTCATGTTTAAACTCAAAAATGATCTGGTCCCTGAAGTCTTTCATAACTATTTTCACCTTATTAATCACAAATATCAAACAAAATACTCTATCAAGAACTAATATATTCCGAAAACCTCTTTAACCCAATTGTGAAACTCATTTTTAACAAACAAAATAAAAACGATAAACTGATTCCAACATTTTAAATGCGTTGTAAAGCAACAGCTACTAGACCTCAACATTAATGAAACAATCTCTTATTTTTAAAATTTTTCTTTTTTCAATTTAAATTTTTTTTTCCTTCACTTTTTCTTGAAATTCTTTTATATTACTTGCTTGGTTATTTAATGAAGTTCATAGTAAAAAAAAAAAAAAATCACATGTATTATAAATATTTTATTATATTTGTATTTGGTTTACATTTTATTATATTTTGTCAACGACAAAAATGGGGCAAGATGATAAGACTATTGTCTTCTACTTGCTCCAGTCATATATTTCACGGTAAAATGTTGTACAAATTTATATTAATAATGACAAAATATATATATAAATAAATAAATAAATAAACGCCATGCTTATCTTTCTTGCATTTTTAGTTTAACTAAGATCTAAGCGCGGAAAAATAAAAAAATATAGCACGGAAAAAATAAAAAATGTAAAAGAAAAATTGGTATAAATAAAATTTAAAATAAAAATTGGTATGAAAAACTGGTATAAATAAAATTTGAAAAATTTGTATAAATAATTAAAAATAGTTTTATATCTTTAAGGCACTGTGCGACGGCACGAAATATACTTAGAACCTGCTTTGAACCTTAGATCTCTTGCTTCTATAGCAAGAAAGTTTTTTATTTTTTATGTTAACTCACCCAAAAGCCATGAAGGCTACTACAGTCGAAGAAGCTACTTTATTTGTGGTTACAACCCTTTCTTAACTCTATAACTCCGAAATACGAACCTTGACGAACAAGAGCGCTGCGCGAAAAAACAAGTAATGCGCGGTAGTACCAGGGAGGTGGTGGGGATTGAACTCGGAACTTTTCGCTTATGAGGTGAGCATTCGACCACTACACCACTACCGTATTGGTGATTGCTCCACGGCAGCTAAAAGTTTTATAATTTATAAAATAACAGTATAAATTTTTAGTTTTGAAGACCTCTTCTTTTTTTAAGAAAGCATTTTGGTTGTTTTAAGGACCCCACCCCCACCCCTACATACCCACCGTACCCCTACGTACCCACCATACCCCCTACATACCCACCCATATGTACCCCCCCCCCCACCTCTACATTTTGTTCCTAGAATCGTCTTTTTTAAAATATTAATAAAAAAATGATTTTAGTTTTTTTGTGCGTGGATTTTTACATTAATTAAATTTTGTTAGTTCCTTTAAAATTTTACATATATATATATATATATATATATATATATATATATATATATATATATATATATATATATATATATATATATATATATATATATATGGGAAAGCGGGGCAACATGGCGAACGTTTTGAAAGCCCTGAGTTACAAAACTATCAGTCCCTGAGCCCTGAGTTGCAAAACTGTCAGTCGTGAAGCAATAATACTTTTTCAGTATGTTTATGTTATTAAAATCTTTCATTGTTTGCATGAATTTTCAGTTTGCAAATATAACAATTTGTAATAAATGTTAAAATAAAAAGTTCATAAATTTGTCATCTGGTCCCGTGACCGGGGCAAGATGACTTATTATGCAATTTTTACCTCTAACTAAATAAAATTTTAAAAACTACCAACAACTCTAAATAAAGTAACAAAAAATAAACACAAATTGCAAAAAACTACTTCAAGAGAAGTTAAATTTGAAAGACACCATCCATTATGAGAAACCAAATGTGAGGAATTTTTTTTTAAGCGCAAAAAGTATACTTATGCGTATAAGGCCGGCGCTATGAGGGTGTGTGGAGGGATGTGACACCCCCCATCCCCCCATCAATGATTTTTTCGTTCATTTAGTCGGCAAATTTGACCCTTTTTGACTAGAAAGTCGGCAAATGTAGACCCTTTTAACAAGTTATTCGGTAAATTTTGGCAAATGTTGTAATGGCAGTCAGAGCGCAGTAAAAACGAGGACCTTTTATATATATATATATATATATATATATATATATATATATATATATATATATATATATATATATATATATATATATATATATATATATATATACCAGGGCGTCAGTACGTGGTTCCTAAGAGTACTACGGTCAACTCAGAAAGGTATTTGGAAATATTAAATACACGCATGCTACCCAGTGCATCAGTTCTGTATCTAACTGGTAACTTCATATTTTAAGACGACGGTGCTCCTTGTCATCTCTCAAAGGTGGTAAAAGCCTGGCTTCAACAACACTGCGTGACTCAGATGCATGATTGGCAAGGTCAATCACCAGACATAAACCCAGTTAAAAATCTGTGGTGCATCTTGAAAAGGAACATTAGCAACACCAAGCCAACAGGCAGAGCCACTCTGATAGAGATAATAATACGTGACTGGCATCACACAGTCAACTTGGAGGCATTGCACACTTTGTTTGTAAAAGCATGCCTCGATGTATCGCTGGTGTAATAGCTGCGAAGGGTTATGCAACCAAATATTAATTTATGGACATGCTGCGATAGTTAAAGGTCATTGTATATGAAAAAATTCTTAATCAAGCCCTTTTTAAGATTAATTTGCAACTATGAACAGTACAATTAAGTATTGAAAAGTGTTAAATGTCATTGAATGTGTCAAAGGTCATTGTATGTGAACAAAATCTGAATCAAGCCCTCTTTAAGATTAATTTGCTATGAATAGTACAATCAAGTATTGGGAAGTGTTAAATATGATTTGCAATTTTAAAGACTGTGACTTGAACTAGTTTTATGTAAAAAATAAGTGTATGGTATAACTATTCTGAAAAAACATGTGATTGTTTCATACAAATTTACAAATTTTTTTTTATAGTATTGTTTTTAAACAAGGTTTTATAGTTATAAATTGCCGGACTTTAGGTATTAAATATTTTAAAAATATCAAATGATACAAATTCTTGCTATATTTTATTTAAAATAAATACATAATGTTAATTTACTATGATAGTTAAAAATATAGTTACTTTGGTATAAATTTAAATATTTAATTCAAGAGAATTATATTTTAAAAATTATTGGTTACTTAAAGTATTATTTAAATATTAACTTAAAACTATACTATAAAGTACAGTGTGATATTGATTAATGAAAATAATAACTTATTTGTTATATATGTAAGCAAGTCCTTACTTTTTTAATAAATAGGCATTCTCGATAAAATCTTGCGCAAATGTAGAAACTTAAGTTTATCAAAATATAGTAATGGACTTTAATAGGTGCATGTAAATTTGATTTAGCCTATAAGTGTGTGTATATAAAAAAGCTTATATATACATATTAAAGCTTTGTATATACACACACATATACACACAAATGTATATATATACACAAAAGAGTATTTTAAATATTAAAAATAAAACTTCATTCATATAAAAACAAAATTAGATTCAATTTAAAAAATGAATGCACTCATGTGCACTTTTGTGGTAGGTTGATATCAAGTTCATCAATTAGGTAGCACGTTTCCAGTAGTTCGTCATTGACCAACTTTTTTAAAACATTCCTAACAAGGCAATATTTACTATAATAGCTTTACATATAAAAAAAAATGCCGGATGGAATGATTTAGTTTTTTTATAAAATGCCTTACGTCAAGTCGTCTCTTGATTTACTTTTATACTGTTGGCAAAGCTTCACAACTTTTTCAAACATGCATGATCCAAGCACATCTTCACAGTGACGTCTAAATATATAAATTAAATCAGTGCATTGAATATTTATTTAAATTTGACGGAAGATTTATACTTAAAAAAAAAAAAAAATGAGACTAGACTAGAATTTACCTCAAAAAAGCACCTTTGTTTGCATTAAGAGATTCTTCAAAAAAATCTTCAGCAACTTAAATAAAAAGTATGTTATTGCATTTTAAATGTAAATAATATGATTAATACATATTCATGGTGGCAAATACGTGTGGTGCAGACAGGAATATATTATATACATTTGAATATATATTTTTTTATTATTATTAATGTATTTGATTCAAACATCTTGTACATATAAATAAAAACAAGGCCCATAGTAGTGTTGTCACGGTACACGGTACTTCGGTACCAAGTCGGTACTAAAAAAATTTAAACGTCACGGTACCATGTTTTCTCAAGTACTGGTAGTACCGAAGACCCGTTCAAACCCGATTCCTTGATGCGCATGCGTGCAGTAGCGCGTCCTCTTTATTAAACTGCTGAGAAATGGCGACCGGTGGTGCAGCTGATGTGGTAGCTCTAAATCCACTTGTTGAAAAAAAAGGAGGAAAGAGCCATGTGTGGAAATATTTTGGATTTGCGGCTGATGACATCATTATCATTGATAATCAAAAACCCATTTGCAAACGATGTCGCCGAAGTTTTCTCTCAAAAGGAGGAAACACATCGAACTTAATAAAACACCTCAAAGACCGACACCTGGATCTGACGAAAGAGTTCAAGCAGGTAAGTTTCAAACTAATTTAAAATATAGAGCTTCTGTTATGAATTATATATCATATTTTAATTTGAATGTCTGAACCAGTCTTATAGAAATAAACAGCCAAAAATAAGTCTTACAGAAAGATTAAAATAACAATAATAAGCTTAAAAATTAAATTAAAAAAATATATACTTTTTTTACGTTTTTTTACAACCTATTGTTAAGACTTTTCTTTTAATAAGTATTTCTGTAAAAAGTCGTTTGTAAAAAGTTGTTTTTAAAAAGTCGCTCATAAAAAGTCGTTTGTAAAAAGTCGTTTGTAAAAAGTTATTTGTAAAAAGTCTTTTGTAAAAAAGATTTTGACGTCTTTAATAGAATGACTTTACAGAGAAAATAAAATCGGTGACTTCAAAAGCGAAATGTAACTTTTTAAGTGACTTCGAATTAAAACGTTTAAGCATTAAAAGTTTTGAACAACGTTCAATGTTTTGAATAAAGTCGTTGTTGTTAATAAAATTAATATCAAAAATAATTTTAAACGATTTAATTTAATAAAAAAAATTATAATTTAGTAAAAGATAATATAAATATATATTTTTGCTGATTCTTTCCTTCTTCAAAAAAATAAATAAAAAAATTCCAAAAAAATAAAAAATATTTATCGAAGAAAACGTTTTAGCGAATAAAGTTTTATGTATAGTTTTTTCGATTAAAGTATTAAAGGTTTTTATCGCATTATAAAAATGGAAATAAATATAGTTATAGAAATAGTTTTAAATTTATTATAAAAAATACATACTTATAAAATGAATAAAACTACATATATTAAATTTAATTATTGGGAAAATCCTTCTAATCCTTTACTTTTTTACTTCCATGGTGCTACTAATAGAAATTTTGTAATTACCTACCGTGTAATGGATTAAACAATTTTATACAAAAAGTATTTTTTAACAAAATTTAAAATATTTAATCTTTTTACAAGTACTAATTATTTATTAAAATTGTTTATATAGGCTTTTATATAGGCTTTTATATAGGCTTTTATATAGGCTATTATAAAAGCTGAGGTTTGTTATTTAGAGAAAAACTAATGTTTCATTTGTTCAACTCAGCCCATTTTTGACTTCTATACTTATAAAGTATATTTATTATATTTTCCTTTTACAGCTGCAAGCTGAGGAAGACCATGGAACACCCCGCAAACTCATAAACAGGCAACAGTTAAAGAAGCTTTTCAGTGGCAACAAAAATATGACAAAAACTCACCTGAGGCAAGAAAGCTGAACCTAGCTGTTGCTGAATTCATATGTATTGATAAAGTGCCCATTTATACAGTTCAAAAATGTGGATTCCAACAAATGCTCCATCATTTCAACCCAAAATACCAGCTTCCAAGTCGAAACTTTTTTATGTACACTGAGATTCCCCGCATGTACAATGACACCAGAGACCTCATAATCCAGCATCTCAGTGACAAATCATTTTACAGCTGCACAACAGATCTTTGGACAAGTAGAACTGCAGACACTTTCATGTCTTTAACTCTGCAGTACATTACTAAATCATGGGAATTGCAATCCTGGTGTCTTGGCTGTTGTGGTCTCAACACAGACCACACTGCTGAAAGTTTGAAGGAGGCCTTTGATGAAAAACTTGAAGACTGGAAGTTGGACATTGCAAGAATGTCAGGCATCACAACAGACAGTGCCTCAAATAACAAAAAAGCCTTTGAGGACTACACCTGCATTCCTTGTTTTGGACACAATCTCCACCTTGCTGTAAATAAGGCATTAGACATAAACAGGGTGTTTGCAGTGCTGTCAAGGCTTCGAAAAACTATTTCTGCCTTTACAAGATCCCCAAAACTTTCACGCCAGCTGACCAAGAAATAGAAAGATCTGTCCTCTCCAGACCACAAACTCATTTATGATGAACCCACTCGCTGGAATTCTTCATACGATATGGTGGAACGTTTCTTGGAGCAGCAGCAGGTTGTCTGTGCTGTCCTGGCTGAAGACAGGAAAATATGGCATCTGATGCCAAAAGACTCAGATATTACAGTTTTAGAAACTGTTAAAGCAGTTCTTGAGCCACTCAGTCCTTTTACTGATGCACTTGGCGGGGAAAAACATACCACCCTGTCTTCAGTCTTGCCGTTACTCTGGAAGATATTTGAGTGTCTCAGTCATGAACAAATCCGACTGGTTCAGACATTCAAATTAAAATATGATATATACTCTGGATTAGCCAAAGAGATGAAGGAAAAGATACACGAGTATCTTCAGCATCGCTATGATGACCTGCAGCTTCGGTTTCTTTTGAACACTGCAACCTACCTTGATCCACGATTTAAGAACAGCTTTGTCTCTCTAAAGGATGATGTGAAGCAAATTTATCCTGGATGAGGTGAAAAAAATGGGCAATGAAAAAGAAGGAATTGCATCTCGGGTGTCTGGAGGATTGTCAAGTAAAGAAGTCAGGCCATTTAAAAAATCCAAAAATCACTTAAAGTTTCTGCTTTCCACCATTCAAGGGGAAAAGAAAGAAAAAGGAGAGCCAGCATCCTCAAGTCAAGCACCTCTTTCTGCAAGTGACGAAATAAATGGTGAATTCTTGGTGTACGATCAGATGCCTGAGGTCAGTGCTGAGGATGATCCACTTATCTGGTGGAAAACAAATATGGGTACTCTACCTCAACTATCAGAGTTTGCCAGGAAGTACCTTTGCATTGCTGCATCTAGCTGTTCATCTGAAAGAGTGTTCAGTACTGCAGGGTACATTGTTAGCCCAAGACGCTCAAGACTGAGTCAGGAACATGTTGATATGTTAGTGTTTCTATCGGAAAATCTGGAAATGGCAAAGAAAGTAACTTAAGGAATAACTGTGTAGACCAGTATTGATTTGGGTGAAACTTGTTTGAAAAAAATGTTGTTATTTATCTAGTTATTTAATTACTCAAATGTTTACAATCCTTGGCTTGAAATACTTAAATTATGCCGTTGTTGTTTTGTTTTTTTACATGTATAATAATATTTTAATTTACAACTTGTTGTTCAGTTATGGCATATTTTGTTTAATTTATAAAAATGTTAAAGTTTATAAATAAGAGTGATTATTCAGTCATGGCTTATTGTTTTGTTATTTATCTAGTTATTTAATTACTTAAATGTTTACAATCCTTGGCTTGAAATACTTAAATTATGCCATTGTTTTTTTACATTTATAATAATATTTTAGTTTATTACTTGTTGGTCATGGCATATTTCGTTTAATTTATAAAAATTGCGTTTTTTAGGTTTGTAATTTTTCATTTATTATTTGTGGAAAAAGTTGAAACACAATTTTAAACAAGTATGAAGAATGGCATTGTTTAACTTTATTAATAAAAACAGTGTGTTTTTCAGCTAGCATGTTTTTGTGTTTTGCTTTGATACAAAGAATTGTGAATTTTTATTGGCAAATTTAGTCTAAATTAATCTTTGGTTTGGTACCGAAATTGGTACCGAGAACCGTGGATTTTTACTGGTATCGGTACCGAATACTGAAATTTTGGCACCGTGACAACACTAGTCCATAGATAAAAATAAGAAAAATAATAATCAATAAAAAGAACTGATACAGTCATCTACACTTATCCATCATTTGGACAGTCCTATTATTCTGTTAATTGAACCGAAAGTGAGATTTCTTTTGGCACACTCATCAAGCGGTTTCTTTAAATTGATCCTATAGTTAAACAAAATATTCTCAAAAGTTGGGAGCTTAACTCTGAAAACATCTGAGTCAGACTGCAATATTTTTAATATCCGAAAAACATTTTTGAACATTTGTAACAGCAATATCGTAGGTGTGCTAATGTTCTTGTGCTAAAACTGCTCCACAGGGAAGCATTATATATACATATACAATGTGATTGGAATAGTCTTACTTTATCTAGGTTTGAACACTTGTAAAAGCGTCTTATTAGCATATTTGTTCGAGTATATAGATTTTTTATCTCTTTTTTTTATATCAGTATTATCTACTAGATCATTTCTCACAATATGACCGAGGTATTTAAAGCTGTCAGCAAATTCCTGATTGCAACCTGCTACACTCAATTTTGGAAATGACAAAGACACAATTTTTGATTTTTGTTTAGGGTTAAAAACCATACAAACTGTCTTCTTTGTGTTAAAAGACATTAATTAAAAAGGCCTCGGCATTAATTGCATTCAATAATTTTTGTAGAGACAAGCAAGAATATTGAGAACAACCCCTCCTATATTGCAGCCACATATTTGAAATTTTAAATACAAGATTACTAATGTAAAACCTAAATAGTAACGGTGATAAAACACAACCTTGTTGCACACCATTTCCTATATTAAAAGCAGGAAATTTAGCTTTCTGCCAACTAATACACATTTCCTGGTTGCTGTACCAGA